GTAAAAAGGAAAAAGACAAAAAAAAAAAAAAAAAATTTTTTTATTTTTGAGACAGGGTCTTGCTGTGTCATTCAATGGCCTTGAACTTACTATGTACTGTAGTCCAGGCTGGCCTCAAACTTGGTGGTAGTCTTCCTGCCTGAGCCTCCTGAGTGTTGGTGTTCTACCATACCTACAGAAAGAGGCGCTTTCAGTTGCTAAATTGGAGATGGGCTCCCAAAAATCCTTTGCCTAGATATTAGTAAAAGATAGTACCAGCTTGCTTAGAAACATCAGTAAATTTGTGATCTAGAAGATGGTTGAAGTTCAACTTTATTTTTTTTTTTTATTATTATTTGCTTGTCTTTGTTTTTTGAGACAGGATCTCACTATGTAGTTCAAGCAGGCCTTGAACTTGTTATGTTGCTTGCCCACGCTGGCCTCAAATTCATCTTCCTGCCTCAGCCTCCTGAGTTCTGGGATTATAGGCATGGCTCATATGCAACTTTATAATGACACTACAGCTGAAAGTGTTCAGGCTGTGGCTTATGATATTGATGACTTACAATAGAGTTTCCAAGTACTTTTTCAGTGCCATTTGGAGCAAGAGAGGTGTTGCTTTTATTATTTCTGTGTTTTGGATATTTAGGTGTTTACAAAATATTCTGTGTGTTAAAGTTAAGAACCAAAATACCAGAAGAAGACAAAAACTAGGATTACTCTGTCAACAGATGTGATTTGTAGTTTAAGTGTCAGAAGAGTATGTTCTAGTGATGCAGATCCAAGCCAAGGAAAACACTTTAAGAGCTTATACTAAGGGGCTGGGGATTTAGCTCTGCGACATAAGCACCTGCCTTGCAAGCAGGCGGTTGTGAGTTCGATCCCCGGTACCGATAAAAATGAAAAAGACGAAAAAAAAAAAAAGAGCTTATACTAGAGCAGAAGTTATACACTGCTTCCATTATGAAAAAAAAAAGTCTTCAAGCAGAAAATCAAGAAAAGCCTTTTTTTTTTTCTTTGACACAGGGTCTCACTACATAGTTCACACTAGCTGGAGCTCAACTATGATGTAGTCCAGATTGGCCTCAAAATCACTGGGATCCACCTGCCTCAGCCTTCCAAGTGCTGGAATAACAGGCATGCATCACTATTCCCAGCCACTGTACTTATAGCAGTAAAACTGTGAATTATGTAAAGTTCATCCATTCACTTTTTAAATTATTTTGTATGTGAGAAATAGAAACCTGATCATAAATGTCACCATAGAGCCTAGGCTGGTCTCAAATTTGGGCGGTTCCCCTGCCTCAGCTTCCTAAATACTGGAATTATGTTCAGGTCTAGCCCTGAATAAAAATTTTTACAAAGTTCTGGTGATATAACTCAGTGCAAAGACCCAGGTTTCATCCCCAATACTGGGAAGAACTTTGAAAATACAATATGACTAGCTTTGTTTTGACAAAGGTAAGAATAAAACCCCCAAATTTAATAAAGCTGCTTTAAGTGATGGGTGTGGCAGTGTTTCCCTATAATCCCAGCTATTTGGGAAGTGGAGGTGGGAGAGCGGCTTGAATTCACAAGTCAGAGACCAACCTGGGCAGCATGGGAAGATTCCTGTCCAAAAAAATAAATAAGTCAATAATAAAGAACAAAAAAAGATACTAAAAATATTGAAAAGTGGGCTAGACATGTTGGTATTTGCCTGTAATCTAGAGGAGACTGAGGCAGGGGATCACTGAGTTTGAGGTCAGCCTCAGCTACATAGTAGTTCAAAGCCAGTCTAATCTACATAGTGAGACACCATCTCAACCAAAGAAAAATGAAAATTCTATACATACATGCCTGTAACGGATTTGGTTGCGGGGGAGGGGGTGGCACTGAGGATTAAACCCAGAACCATTGTATCACTAAGCTACATCCCTAATCCTTTTTAATTTTTTTTTTTTTTGGTTTGTTTTTGTTTCTTTGTTTTTTTGGTACCAGGGATTGAACTCACAAACTTGTACTTGCCAGGCAGGTGCTTAGGCCACTGAGTTAAATCCCTGGACCCTCTTTTTAAATTTTTGAGACAAGGTCTTTGTAAGATGCTCAGGCCTAGCTCAAACCTATGCTCCCCCTGTCTCAGCCTCTGAGAATACAGGTCTGTATCATCAGGCCTGGAAAAATACATTAATATTTATATTATGCCACAAGTTTCTTCATTTTTTTTTGGTCTTTTTCCTTTTTATCGGTACCAGGAATCGAACTCACGACTGCCTGCTTCCAAGGCAGGCGCTTATGCTGCTGAGCTAAATCCCCAGCCCCAAGTTTCTTCATTTTTTAAAGCAAATGGTTGGTAATTTAAAATGACTTGATATTTGGTTGGTATCTCACCACTGGCCAGAAGAGGGCAGCCCCTGCCTATATCAAAAAGAAAATAAAGAAAATTGAGTACTTTTATTCTGTGTATTTTATTTATATTTCAATATCAGTATGTGTTTATTAAGAAGTCACACATTGCAGAAATACATAATAGAATATGTGAAAGATCTCTTAAACTCCCTGTCCCTAAAGAGAACAAGAACAGTAGCTGGCATGTTGAATTTAGCTATTATGAAGAATTCTCTGCGGGCGGAGAGGGGGGGACACCTTGGGAGATACAAAGCCTATATACAAATTCAGCACATGGATTTGAACATTTTTTTCATCTCTTGATGTCATTCTGCTTTGTCTCTCTTTGTGTCAAGCTAAGGACATTACTGCATCTTTTTTTTTTTTTTTTTTTGCCGTACCAGGGATTGAACTCATGACTTCATGCTTGCCAGGCAGGTGCGTATGCCACTGAGCTAAATCTCTGGCCCTACTGCATCTTTAAAAATACGAGGAAGCAAGTGATGGCTGGGAAGTGTTTGCAAAGCATGAGCATAAGGTAGTGTTAGCACAAGCTGGTCTTTTACTTCTTTAAACTATATTTTACTTGTTAAGTTTTGGATTTTTGCTATTTTGTTTTTCCCTGCTTAAAATATCTAGGGTATATTATCTCAGATAATGAGGAAAAATAGGTTGTTTGTGGTTTTTTTTTTTTTTTTGTCTTTTTTGTTTTTATCGGTACCAGGGATCGAACTCACAACTGCCTGCTTGCAAGGCAGGCGCTTATGCCGCTGAGCTAAATCCCCAGCCCCTTGTTTGTGGTCTTTTTGAACTGTGCTGCTAAACTGTATTCCCAGTCCAGTGGCCTTTTGGTTTTTTTGAGACAGGGTCTCACTATGCAGTTCAGGCTGGAGTCAAACTCACTGTAACCCAGGCTGCTCTTGAACTTGGAATGATCCCCTGCCTCAACTTTCAAGTGCTGGGATTACAGGCATGCAGCACCACGCCTGGCTAGTAATTTTTTTTTTTAAATCTTTCCCTGTCATATAACCAGCTGTGCCAGTTAACTCAGACTTTCCTAAGTGATTCACCATTTGGAAAAGGCCAGTCATGGAAAGTTTCTCCCTAATAAAGAATTTCAGGAAGTACTGAGTAAGTAAAAATGCAGCTAAAATGGAATTTCTGCTGAAAACATTTAAATTAATGCTAATAATAGGCCTTTTCCTGTCAGGAGTATTTTTTTCTCAGTATTTCTGAGATAGGATTTTTGCTGTGCAGTTCAGGCTGGCCTTGAACTCACTTTGTGACCCAGGCTAGCTTTGACTTATGGTGATTCTTCTGCCTCAGCCTCCTAAGTAGTGGGATTACTGGTGTGCATCACCATGCGTGGGTTGGTGCTTGTATTTGAATATTCTATAACTTAACTATTCTCCTATTCAAAGATATTTTGAGAGCCAAATCTCTTACTGCTCTCATCATTCATTAGAAGTAGAGCTTTACAGGTGGTTGAGACGAGAGGATTAGAAGTTTGGGCAACTTTGCAAGACTGTTTTAAAATAAAAAAAGGTATGGGTAGTTCAGTGTTAGGGCTCTGCTAAGTTTATTGTACATAGCATTTTCTGATTTAAATTAATCGAATTGCATCCTGGCGCGTCCAAATTTATCCAGTTTCAAGAGATTTTTGTTTCATCATTGGGTGGTTTTATGTGGAGAACAGAAAGGAGCTTCTAGAGTGCTCTGGTTGTTTATAACATTGCTTTATTTTTTTTTTTAATTAGTTTGTTGTTTTTCTCCCCAGTATTCTGTCTCCAAACCTCTGGATCTTTGAATCTGGGGCCTGATGTACATGTAAGGGCCCTTTGCATCTTTCAGACCAGTAACCCTCCAGTGTACTGAGACTCTGACTGCAAGAGTGTCTTAATCACTTTCATGTCACTGGTGCAAAATACTCAATACTCACAATTTAAAGGAGGAGAGGTTTTTAAAAAATTATTTATTTTTTGAGACAGGATCTTGCTGTGTCATTCAGGCTAGCCTTGAACTCACTATGTTGCCCAGGCTGGTCATGAACTTACAGCAGTTCTCCTGACTCAGCCTCCCAAATGATAGGATGAGCTGTGTGTGCCACCATGCCCAGCAGCTTTGGCTCGTGTTTTAGAAGTTTCAGTCCTTTTATGGTCAGCTGACTCCATGCAGAAGCAACATGGTAACCAGGCCAGGGCTTCGGAATCTGCTCAGGACAGACAGGAAGCAGAGAGTGAAAGGAGTCCAGAAAGGAGATAGGCATTTCTGGGTCAAGCCCACAGTGACCTGCCTTTACTGATCAGACGTCACCTCCTAACGGCAAGACGGCTGTAATGCGTCCATGATCCAGTCACCTTCCAAACACATGAGGCTTTGGGGGCCATTTTAGTTCTAAACCATAATGTTCATGCTGACAAATGTAATGGAGAGGTCTTAGGGAGATAAAACTCATATACAGTGTTATTTTATTTTGGGGAAAGTTTTTTTGTCTAGAATTGTAATAATGAGCTTTAACTATAAAGCTCAACATCCATGTTTATTTAAAACCAGCAGTGGATATATTCTTAGTTCTTGTTTTTTTCCTTTTCCTTCAGTTTTGTTTCTCTCTCTATATTGTTTTTGTAAATTTGATGTATCTTTGCTTGGAACAGGGTGACTAAGGAGGTGGATGCTACATCTAAAGAAGCCAAGTCCTTCTTCAAGCAAAATGAGAAAGAAAAACCGCAGTCCAGTGCCCCTTTGGCTGCGCCGTCACTCTCTGCTGGGCCAGGGTGAGTCCCAGGGGTGATGGACGCACTGGAGCAGCTTTCTCCAGTTTACCTGCAGTTCTGTGGCTCCTTCTCTGAGAAGTAATTTGCTGCTGCTCTGCCTTTGCTGAAATATTTACCAAAGTGGAAGATGCAGTAGACTGGGCAGTATGCAGGGCAGTGTGCTGTAAGTTTATCAGCCAACAAAGCTCAGATTTAGATTACAGTGCTGAATGTGTAAATTTTGCATTAGCAGAAATACTGTTTGAGTGATAGTATTAGTAGTTCATCAGAATTTTGGCTGGTAGTTTTTATATTACTTGAGTTATTTTTATATTACTTAAAGACTAGAATTCTTTCTCTTTAGAAGTGAAACTTCTTTTCAACCTATGTGTAAGAGGTAAAGCATCACAGTAAACAAGAAAAGCTTAGGGCTGCAGCCCATGAAGTGATGAGCGCATGCAGGGCATGGACCGCATGGCTGACTCCCTACAGGGCAGGCTTGGTGTTAACATCCCCTGGTGTTTGGGGTACAAGTCTCCTAAACTGGCCTCTCTGACTGTTTAGTTAGAAACTGTTTCCTCAATCAGTAAGGTTTGTGAGCTTTTCTGGAGCAGGCTTTCCTCTTGGTATCCTTGGCTCTGAAAACTGTTACACTGGCAGGTGCTCTTAGGGTGCATTTACTCACAAGCAGACCCTGAGACCAAGGTCCGAGTGCAAGTCTTTGTGTGACAGGTGATTCCAGGAGGCTCTGGAGGGAGACAGCTAGTGCAGAGTTCTCAGGCAGGTTACTTAGTCCTGCTGGGGAACTTGGAGAGACTGAGGAGCATGCGAGGGATCAGCAGGCTCAGTGCTTACCTCCAGGGCCAGCGAGACTTTTGCTCAGCTGCTTGCACACATTCCTTGCCCTCTCTTGGCCGGCTGGGAGCTGTAGCTGCTTGCAGTATTTGCTTTGATTAATGTGAGCAGGCAGGACGGGGCTAGCTCCTCCACATCTGCTGCATCATCCAGTATTTGCTGTGCACCCTTTCCCTGCCTAGAGTGTTTTTGCCCCGCTGGAGCACCCAGGTAGCTGGAGCACATTGCAGTTACACCGACAACTGAGAATGGGAAAGAGATTTGGCGGCTTACACCACAGTGGAAGTGATTCGAAAGCAGACAGAGGCAGCCATAGAGATTAGCACTTCATAGCATGTGAACAGAATTCTGCAGACCCTGCCATGTTCATACTCTAGACCAGTCAGTACTCATGAAAACTGTGGTTTGCCCTCATCAATTAAATTATTAGAACATTAAATGTAGTAAGATTAAATACTGTCTTTTTTAGTAATTTTGTGCTTAACTGGTGACACGACTGTTTTTAGTTGAGGGTTCAGGAAAAAATGAATCTGTAGACTGAAACAAGGTATATTTAGCCTTATACTCATTGTATTGTTTGAAGGGGGTTCTCTTCAGACCAGCAGCTTTCAGATTTTCTGGAAGGAATACATTCTACATTATGCCCTGTTACACCCACAAAAGTAAGTGTCAGCTGGATGTAATAGTGCACATCTGTAATTCAGCCATCTAGGAGGCTGAGGTAAGAGGATTAATGGGACCTTATCTCAAACAAATGGGCTGGAAATGTAGCTTGGTATGAAGGCCCTAGGTTCAGTCCCTAGTGTTGGGGAGGGTGGGATGAGTAAGTGGGCACGTGGCACAGGCCTGCAGTCCCAGCTCTTTAGGAGGTTCAGGCAGGAGGATTGAAGGGGGCTAACCTGAGTGGAGATCTTGTCAGAAACTATGATTTAAAACAAAAGCCAGGTATGGTAGTGCACACCTGTAATCCCAAGCACTCTAGAGACTGAGGCTGGAGGATTATAAATGTGAGCCTCACCTGAGCAATTTAGTGAGACCTTGTCTCTAAATGAAAAAAAAAAGAAAGAAAGAAAGAAAAAAGACTGGGAATATAATTCAATGTGAAGCCCCTGGGCTTAATCCTTGGTATCACACACATGTGAAATGATACTTTGTTGGTGCTAGGGATTGAATTTAGAGCCTTGTACATGCTAGACAAGTGCTGTGACACTGAGCTATACCCCAGTGCATGCATACGGCACACACACCCTTGATTCCTTTTGAGAGAAGATCTTGTCGTGTTGCCCAATCTCACTTCGAACGCCTGTGCTCACGTGATCCTTCTGCCTCCTGTGTAACTCCTGTGCAAGTGTACACCCCTGTGCCTGACTTGGTGAACTGTTTACTACATGTAATTCACTCTGATTTTTCATTTTACATGCAGTTTATGAATGTTATGATCTGCTAAATTGATATTGTAATCTATGGTACCTGAATTTGGTACATATTTCTCTAGATTATGTGTGAAGTTAACTGGTAGGAGATTTTTATGTAAGTTACTATTATTTGCATAGTAGTATCTGGTATTAAGTCTCTGGCTGCTATATGGTGGCCTGCACTTGGTGGCACATGCCCTAAGGCTGGAGTATCACAAGTTTGAAGCTAACCTGGACAATTTAGGGATACTCTGTCTCAAAAAAATTTTTTTTATTTTAAAGAGATTAAGACAAAAGTGGACATAACAAAGCAGATCAGAACAGAACAATGTAAGCAACACAGTACTTCACCACAAGACAACCTGGAATTAACAGTTACTACCATAATATCTCTTTCGTTGAAATAGTTGAACATAACTTCATATATAATAGTATCAAACATAACGAAATAGTATAAAACCATTCAAGAGAATGAAAATATTACAGGGCATTCAGAACCAAATAACAGAGAACGAACAATGCCTGTATTAAATTTAAAAAAATTTTTTTTGAAAAGTTTTAAGGGCTGGAGAAGAGCTAGGCATCCTGTAATCCTAGTATTGGGAAGGCTGAGGCAGAAGGATAACCATGAGTTTAAGGCCAGCCTGCGCTACATGGTAAGTTCAAGGTCAGTCTGAACTACATAGCAAGACCCTGTCTCAAAAATAAAAAATAAAAATAAAGGCCTGGGTAAGTAACTCAGTGGTAGAGTACCTCTGGGTTCAATCCCTAGTATTACCAAAAAATTTATTTTCTTTGCATTTATTAAAAGTATTATTCGAGAAGTGACTTTTGGGTATAAATACCAGATAGAAATACAGGCAAAATAAATTCTGCCTCAAGGTTCTAGCATGGTTAATTACAACTATTGTACTCTTTACTCCTAGCGTCCCTGGGTATTTCTTCCTAAAAATAATCCCTATTGATATTTTGAAAATCTTCTTGGAAACTGTGTTTGAGAAAATTTACTGTTACTATAGTTATGAAAATGACCAGGAGAGGGAGAATTGCTGTCTTAAAAGAATCAGCATGCGCAAGTCACTGAGTCCCTTCCCTGAACTCCGTCCCCCTGCTTTCTCTGCCTGGGCCCACCTTTCTAGTTTAAGTAATCTGCTGTGTCAGGGAGGCCGGACAGGAAACGAATGGCGTCCTCAAGTTGTGACTCTCTGAAGAGAGTTTAATAACTTACAGCATAATAGAAAGCCACAGGGGCAGAAGTAGTGTCACCAGGGCTACTAAAGAATCTCCACTGCCTCCTGAAGGCTGAAAGGGCAGGGAATTGGGGGCAGTTGACAGCAGTGGAAGCCAGGGCCATCTTGAGGAGTTGAGATCTTTTGCTTGAGTGCTGGACCCCTTCAGGGGAAAAGCAGAGGAATAAAGGACCAGATTTCCTGTTTTTTTCTTCCTCTAGTCTCTTATTAGAGCATTGCATTGCCTCTGAAGCTTGTTAGAAGATTATTCTAACTCTTGTTAAATTAGTCAGGAAGACTTTATTTGTGATCAGGGTCAAGATTATCATTAGCGGAGAAAGTGAGAGCTCAATTCTGAATATAGCAAAGACAGCTGGGGTCTTATAGCAGAAAACGTGTGTGGTGGTTTGGATGGAAAATTACTAAGAGGGGATTTCAAGGGTAGGGGGATTCTTGCTAAAGGCAGGCTGAGGTTGATCGGTTATCAACATGTGAATTCTTTCCAAACTTTGGATTTCTGCTAAAACTGGACTATGTACGCTCATCAGGGACGGGGTCAGTATCAAAACTTAGTTGAGACTAGGATGAAGAAGAGTCTACTGAAGTTAGGTGAAGGAGTCTTTCTCAGGCTGTGCATACAGGGCAGCAGAGAACAGAGGACCTGGGAGCCTGTCGGGAGCTAATCTTGGGAGCTATTCCAGAGAAACGTTTTTCTGTTGATTAATGAACTGCTTAATTAATGCCCTTATAAAGAGGACAAAATGAAATTTGACCAAATTGATGTCTTTTGCATGGTATGATAACATTAGCAGGATATGTCTGCCAGGTGCCTGAGTAAAAGCCCTTAGAGTTGTACGGGAAAGTGGGGACACATTTGATTATGATGCAGCATGCCTTGAACTTCTGATAAATCCAGAATGGTCTTCAAGGTTGATCTTCATTTTTTGGAATGCATCTCAAAAAACTTTTACAGTATAATTGTCCTTGGGAGGAGATGGGGTCCAGATCAGCTGCTCAGGGGTATCAGAGTAGACTTAGATCCCTACAAACATGCGGCTCTACCTCAGGCTCCATACCTGTGGTATGGAACGTCTTTTCAAGGAACAAATCTACAATACTCTAATATATTAAAAGAAAATTATTTAAATGCAGTAAAATACTTTTTTTTTCCACTTTGAGAACTACTTCAGTTTATAGAAATTGTGCAGTAGATACTTTGTTTACTTTCATTTTCTCTAAACAAATTTAAGCGGTACACAAAAAGCAGCAGAGTAAAACATCCTGTCCCACATCTGCGAACAAATAAGAACAGATTCAGTGGAGCAAATGTTTGTAACCGAAAATGCATTTCCTCCACATGTTTAAAATAGCACACTGCTTAGGCTATAAAAAGCCAAAGTTTATGCATTAAGAATGGAGTAAATCCTCTTATTTAGAAGCCAGGATCAGACTACAGGAAGTACTCTGTCTGCATTTGGTGGTAGAAAGCACAGTGCTTACTTAGTGCATCTGAATTCCCGTA